ATCTATTCATTCATGTATCAATTGCAGTGTAGAAAACCGCACCCATGTGTCTGTCTCTCCCCGCGCCCGGTGTCTGTCTCTCCCCGCGCCCGGTGTCCGTCTCTCCCCCTGCGCCCGGTGTCTGTCTCTCCTGGTGTCTGTCTCTCCCCGCGCCCGGTGTCTGTCTCTCCCCACGCCCGGTGTCTGTCTCTCCCCCACGCCCGGTGTCTGTCTCTCCTGGTGTCTGTCTCTCCCCGCACCCGGTGTCTGTCTCTCCCCACGCCCCGGTGTCTGTCTCTCCCCCGCGCCCGGTGTCTGTCTCTCCCCCACGCCCGGTGTCTGTCTCTCCCCCGCGCCCGGTGTCTGTCTCTCCCCCGCTCCCCGGTGTCTGTCTCTCCCCCGCGCCCATGTGTCTGTCTCTCCCCGCGCCACGGTGTCTGTCTCTCCCCCGCGCCCGGTGTCTGTCTCTCCCCCGCGCCCATGTGTCTGTCTCTCCCCGCTCCCGGTGTCCGTCTCTCCCCCGCGCCCGGTGTCTGTCTCTCCCCCGCGCCCGGTGTCTGTCTCTCCCCCGCACCCGGTGTCTGTCTCTCCCTGCGCCCGGTGTCTGTCTCTCCCCCGCTCCCGGTGTCTGTCTCTCCCCCGCGCCCGGTGTCTGTCTCTCCCCCGCGCCCGGTGTCCGTCTCTCCCCCGCGCCCGGTGTCCGTCTCTCCCCCGCGCCCGGTGTCTGTCTCTCCCCGCACCCGGTGTCTGACCAGGCGGGTTTTGGACCTGCACTGCACTAGTTGACACTGAATGTCAACCCCAGACAGGACAGCATGTCCCGGTCCACAGTAGGGTCACTTGTATTACATCCACACATATGTTGACTCCCTGTACTGTTTGCTACGGGATTATGTGCAAAGAAAGCGTGTGTGTGTGTGTGTGTGTGTGCGTGTGTGTGTGTGTGTGTGCGTGTGTGTGTGTGTGTGTGTGTGTGCGTGCGTGTGTGCGTGTGTGTGTGTGTGCGTGTGGAGGGACGTTTCTATGGAGAGCGTGTGACTTTTCATCCCATTCAGGCTCTAAAGTAAACTGAAAGCGGCGACTCCTCAGGCTACCGGTGGACTTGTTATGGCTGTTCAGTGTTTGCGTTTGAGTTGTAAAAGTTAAACGGCGTTGCTAATTAGCATTCGTGTTTCTTTTTCCCAAAACAATATTCCATGAAAGTAGTAATGGTTCATGAGGACCGTTTCGTCTCAACCGCAGCGAAGGCATTGCTCACAGTGACTAGAGGACTCTTGTCACGGACGTGGAGAATTTGCCATTCGTTTCCTACACTTCAGGAACGCAGGAGTTTTATATTTCTCATGAATACTGCTCGTAAAATGGCCCAACGTGGCTGTGGTCAGAGGAACTTGTAGGCCTGCTGACGGTTACTGGCAGAAATAGACAGTGGAAACACACACAACAGCACCACCAGCTGGCGGACATGATGATGGCGCGCCACTTATGACTCTTCAAGACAACAAGTCAAGAATTATTACATTTGCTGCCTCCAGCTCCTGGATCCCTGCCCACCGCCATTCAGGATTTACTGTATATGATGTATGGATGTATGGATGAATACACTTTGAATTATGAAGTGAAACGAAATAGACGTTCAGGATGATTATCCGGCATGTCGAAAGTCAAGTGAACATGAACACGACAACATTCAAAGGCAACATCTTTATTAAAGCAAGATGACTTTGGGATGGAACAGGAATAGCCCATGCATCAGGCCTACAGCATTACAGTTTTCAATCGCTAACAAGCGCTTACCCATACTTCAGATACTTTTTCTAAACTCTTAACACAGACTCACACCTACAAAACACAATTGGCCAAATGGATAATTTTCTTCTCAAAAACACATTTTGTTAAATATATACTAACTCTTCATTTCAAAATAGAACACATCTTTCTCTGCACACACTAACTTTACCAAAACACTGGAAATCTGACTCAAAATGAAATTATTCTGTCAAAGAATAACACTTGTTTTCACTTCACAAGGTACATGCAGTCAATCAAAGTACACCAGGTTTCAAAATACTGGCTATTGTTGACATTACAAAAACACTAAATTTCTTGATTGGGAAATATATGTCCACATGTAATGTTCACATTCAAAAGCATTCCAGTAAAAAGCAAATCAGTTTTTTTTTTTCCTTTACTGTTTACTACAGGAGGTACAGTAGAAATACTGTTTACAATATGATAGAACAGAAAAAGTTTTACAGTATTGCTTACAGTGAACAAAATATCCATAAAACACACAAGAGCATTCTGAACAAAAAAAAACAGCAGCAAAAAGCCCAGACACAAAGGGGGGCAACTAAAAAAAGCACAAAATTACTGTATCTAATCTCTGCGATCTTCAGGGTTAGGCCACATGTTTTCATCAACATTGCATCTGATATTATCCAAGCGATGCACCTGAGATAAAACCACTTACAGTAATTGGTATGTCGGATCCACCCTTGGCAATCATCAACTGTGATGTCCCTGCAGCCAGCATCCATGGCTTCAAGGAGGGACAACTGGTCATGTGGCTGATGGTCATAAACCTTCCACCACCACGCATTCTTACACCTCTACCTTGCCCTCTCCTTGGGCCTGCTCTTCTCCCTGCACCTCTCACTGCTCCTCTCACTGCTCCTCTCACTGCTCCTCTCACTGCATCTCTCACTGGGTCTACTCTTCTCCCTGGCCCTGCTCCTATCACTGCTCCTCTCACTGCTCCTGTTCCTCTCACTGCTCCTCTCACTGCTCCTGCACCTCTCACTAGGCCTGCTCTTCTCCCTGGGCCCCTTGCTCTTACTCTTCCTCGTCCAGACATTACAGTGTTCGTCTTTTTCTGTTTCTGTTTCCAAAAACATCCCTCCTCAAAGTCCTCCTTACAGTAACCCCTGCCACTGAGTCTAAGCCAGACTGGAATCAGCTGTGGTTGGCCCAATTTACCCAACATAAATCAGATGTTTGTCAATTATTCAATTGTTTGTTTATTATCAGCTGAGATATATTGTTTTTGAACTGATATCATTGCAGAGGTTTTTATACTGTATCTAAGGTTTGGAATATTGTTTTTGCTATTGTGGGATGTTGTGTGTTAACATTCGTAAATAATACACAAACAATCCATCATTTTGTTGGGAGGTATAGCTTGTCTGTTAAGGAAATGTGTTTGACTGCATATTGTGTGGAAACAACATGAAATGTGCGAATGGTATGGCCACAAATACCGATGCTGTGCTAATTGTGTTTAGAGTTTTGAAAATGTGACAACTGATTGGACAAACGCTTGTTAGCGACTGAAAAAAACTGTAATACACATCCCTTCTACATATGTCTTTTTATTTCTCTTTGAGGTTTGCATTCAATTTTGACACGAATGGATTCATTCATTATGCAATAGTGGACAAATGTGTGGAACTTATTTTCTCTTCTATTTTCCTAATTGCCTGTTGTGACGATCATCACACCGTGAAGATCAACGAAGTCGCCTGAACTTCACTCTTCAGCTGTGGCCTCCACCGGCTCCTGCTCCGTCGTGGTCACCTCCTCCGTTGTGTTGACCTGCTCTGTTGTGGTCACCTCCTCCGTTGTGTTGACCTGCTCTGCTGTGGTCACCTCCTCCGTCGTGGTCACCTGCTCGGTTGTGTTGACCTGCTCTGTTGTGTTGACCTGCTCTGCTGTGGACACCTCCTCCATCGTGGTCACCTGCTCTGTTGTGGTCACCTGCTCTGTTGTGTCCACCTGCTCTGCTGTGGTCACCTGCTCTGTTGTGTCCACCTGCTCTGCTGTGGTCACCTGCTCTGTTGGTTTCTCCTGCTCCACTGCGGCGATCGCCTTCTCCTCGGCCTTCTCCTCGGCCTTCTCCTCGGCAGCCAGTGGCTGGGCCTCCTCCTGCTTAACCGCCCCCATCTTGACAACAACCGCTTCGACCTTGGTGACCGTGATAGCGCCGCCGCCGCTGCTGCTTGCGACGTTGTCGTCTCCGCTGCTCGCCACTGCCCTCTCCTGGCCACCGAAAGTGGCGCTGATGGCTTTTACGCCACCGAAGGAAGCGCTAACGTGTGACGGGGTGCGGGAACTCTCCAGGCCAAAGGCGTTGTAATTTACAGCTGAACAAAAATAAATTGTGGCATTTGTGTGTGTGTGTAAACTAGTCCAAAAGTATCGGTATATGTTATATTGATCTGATGCATTCTTTATCATGATGTTTTCATGATGTTGGTGATGCAAGGTCAGTTAAGGTCAATTAGGTTTATGTTTTTGGAAAACAAACTTACTTGTCATCTTGGACACACAAGTCTTGATCCCAGTGGCCAACCTGCAGAATTTGGATACAATAATAGGATGAAGCAAACTGTCTCAACAATTATACAAATCCAGTGTGTGCTGAGTCCATCCCACCCTGTTTGTTCATCATCAGCCACCACAAGCCATACCTGTCCTCCTCTCCTTCCAGCAGCTTCCTGTAGGTGGCGATCTCGATGTCCAGGGCCAGCTTGACGTTCATCAGCTCCTGGTACTCGCGCACCTGGCGGGCCATGTCCTGCTTGGCTCTCTGGAGGGCTTCCTCCAGGTCTCTGATGCGGAGCTTGCCGTCCGTCACGGCCAGCTCGCCGCGCTCCTCCGCCTCTGCAATCTGACCCTCCAGGGTGTTGCACTACAAGTGGAGAAGTGCAGTGGCTCTCAAACTATTCATACTAATGTGCCCCCTCGAAGATATTTCAGCAGCCAAGTACCCCTTTCACCAGCACAAAACATTTTGGGAAGGGAATATATGGGAATATATTTGGCTTTTCGGGATGACCGGATGTTGGAAAGTCATGCAATTCATTTATATCCTGAAAAAGCACAAAGCGGGTCAGAACTTGTGTATGTAACTCCCATTACTTACAACCTGTTTTTGCGATCTTTTTTGCTGATTCTCCTTCTTTCTCCTTGTTTTTAGACATTTTCCAAGTACCCCCTGCAACGCTTCGATTTACCCCTAGGGGTACTTTCTCTAGTGGTTAGGATGTTTGACTCCCAGACCAAAGGTTCTGGGTTCGATCCCCCAAATGCCCACAATCTATTCCTGCAGGCCTCCTAGAGCGAGATACTCTACCTCCTTCTGAATGGCCCTGAACCTGTATTCACTGTCAGTGAGCCATCCTCACCTGTGACTTCACCATGTCGATCTCTGACTGAAGCCTCATTATCCTGCGGTTCATTTCGGCGATCTCATTCTTGGTCCACTTCAGGTCTTCTCCATGCTGCCCTGCTGACTGCTGCATCTCTGCATACTGGTCCGGTCAAGTAGACAGGGAGGATGATTATTAATATCCAAACAAACATACATCCTGTTGATGTTGGAGTGTGGTCTTGGGTTGCAATGTGTTGCCTGGATATTTGCACATTGTCCCCATTGTTTACATGCCTACATTCATTCAGCCGATGCTTTCATGCAAAGCAACTGAAAATTGAGGTTGCCAAGTGCAAAACAACTAAAGCATGCAATGAAAATTTTAGTGACGACAAAAAACATAAATTCCTGGAAAAGGAGGACAAATATGTCAGAGAATATGTTTGGCAGTTTTTTTCTTGTCCAGTTCGTGTCTCAGACGACGCTCCTTGACGAGAGCTCACATGTGTTCATATTATAGTTGTGTGTGTGTGTGTGTGTGTGTGTGAGACCACCGCCAGTCGCACCTTATTCTGGTACCAGGACTCGGCCTCGGCTCTGCTGCGGTTGGCGATGTCCTCGTATTGCGCGCGCACTTCCGCCACGATGGCGTCCATGTCCAGGTTACGGCTGTTGTCCATCTCCACGACGACGGAGGTGTCCTTGATCTGGCTCTGCAGCTCACGCAGCTCCTGACGGAAATGAATGAGAAGGTTGGAGAAGATCATCCGCCGTATTCACTGGTCCTCCATATGGAGTGTGCGTGTTGCATTTAATATCTTTTATATATATACGTTTCTTCATTACACTTCATTGTACTTTGTTGAAATTATTGCACGTATTTCTTTTTAAGGGGGGCCAAAACCAAATCCGAAATTTGGAAAAGGACGATAATTAGTGTTTACCACTTCGTAGATCTGCCTCAGGAAGTCAAGTTCGTCCGAGAGGGCGTCCACTTTAGCCTGCAGCTCCGTTTTGACCATGTAGGCTGCGTCTGTGTCCTGCACAGAACCACAGCACACCACAAAACGTTGACCATTATAGTTTGGACTCGATGTGCTTTGAGTCCAGTGTGTTAGTTTAGACTATTTGTGCTATCAGCCTCGTTGGTGGGAACCAAACAAACCTTCTTTATCAGCACAAAGTTGTTCTCACATTCGTTGCGTTTGTTGATCTCGTCCTCATACCTGAAAGGAAGACCAAATATTCAATCACATTGATGGTTCATTCACCGTCATGAGGAGGTTTTATTGATTAAAAACTCAGAAATTAGATCTTAAGCCCTTTGCTCCTGTAGGAAGCATATAGGCCAATAGATAGGATAGGACTTTATTTAGATAGGATAGGACAGCAAGAAGGTCCTGGGTTCGAAGCCCAGGGGGGGGGGGGGTTTGTATGGTCTCCCCTCATTAACTTTTCTTCAGGGTGCGCCTGTTTCCTCCCACACCACAACACATGCAAGTTAACACTCCTGCTGTCCGTAATCAAGACTAGTTAACACTCCTGCCCATAACCAAGACTAGTTAACACTCCTCCTGCCCATAACCAAGACTAGTTAACACTCCTGCTGCCCATAACCAAGACTAGTTAACACTCCTGCTGCCCATAACCAAGACAAGGCACTACAACTGAAGTTGGTTCTTGGGCGCTCCCCCGGTGGTCCACTGCTCCTAGTAATAGGATGGGTTAAATACAGAGATTGAACTTCCCCATGGGGATTAATAAAGTATATCATTATCATCATCATCATTATCATTAATCCCATCCAGGAACCTGGGGATAAAGAGGTGCACTCACCGGTTCTTGAAGTCCTCCACCAAGCTCTTCATGTTGTACAGCTCAGACTCCATGCGCAGCTTCTCGTTGCCCAGGCCGTCCAGCTGCCTGCGCAGGTTGGAGATGTAGGCCTCGAACATGGCGTCCATGCTGGAGCGGGTGGTGGTCTGCTCATGCAGCAGCTTCCACTTGGTCTCCAGCATCTTGTTCTGCTGCTCCAGGAAGCGCACCTGCAGAGGAAGGTGAATACCGTGACATTTAGAAATCAGTGGTTCAAAAAAAGATGGGTGGCGCGGATACATTTGGTGAGAAACACAGACTAGTGCTTCCCTTATGACTATGTTAGTATTCAGATTGACTTCATGTTATCAAGGTGGCAATATTTTACAATTGTTCATACCAAATATTAAAAGGACAAAAAGGACACATTGGTCCAAGGACCCCCTGCAGTCCTTCAAAGTTCCCCTAGGGGGACGCGTACCACCCTTTGAGAACCACTGACTTCAAAAACAGTGATGGGGTACAACAATTTACCTTAAAGTGGAGCGTAAAGAAATGGGTGCTGTTTAGCATGGAGGGAGGGAGGGAGGGAGGGAGGGAGGGAGGGAGGGAGGGAGGGAGGGAGGTGAGGCCTGCCATGTCTTGCCTGGCAACTATGAGTGATGTATGATGGATGTATGACGGCTAGATCAGCCCACCAGCCTATCCTGTGGACTGTACCATCTGGTACCAGCAGGGTGGACACTCCCACTTGTGATGTCCATAGAGGGTAGAGTTTGAGTTTGACTGGTTTCTCATGGCTAATCCACATCACACCTGGTAGTAAAATAAGGGCCCTTTAAATTAAAACAATGTTTAGCCAAATAGTGGGGCTGATGTTGGACGGGGTATGAAAGCAAAAACAGAGTCTTGGAAGAATGACCGGCCGCTGGAAGTACGTAACTACACTTGAGTGAATGTGTGAATCGCTCACAATCGACAAAGAAACATGCAAACATGAACACAAAAGGAGCCTTTTACTACGCAGCTGTAGGTGCCAACCGAGTGAAAATGTCACAGTAATTATAATTACCCCTCGCTCGGGTCCAGGGTCTAATTGCCCTGTTGCAACACAGAGGGGCACTGTTTCCCAGCCCTGGCTCCCAGTCCGCCCACAATGTTAATATCCTGTCCTCTAGTCCTGGGGGGGGGGGGGGGGGGGGGGCGTTTCTTCTTTGATACACAGCAAACCAATGAGGAAAACACGGTTCTGTATATGATTGCATGTGTGTGTATGTTGTGTGTGTGTGTGTGTGTGTGTGTGTGTTTGCATATGAGTGCAGGCCGCTAGTGATGGCAGCTATGTGAGGAAGGTGAGTGTAGAGGAGCGGTCGCATGCTTCTCTGTGCAATCATTTATTTAGTCCTGCTTGATTGACTTATGGCTGAACTTCCTCACTCCTAGTCAGGTGCAGCAATCGCAGATAACGACAGAAGAAGACAACTTTGATTACTTTGATTATGCTTTCATAGCATGATAATGAATAGTGGAGACCATACATCTGCTAAAGCCCTGATACAGTCGTGTTTTTGTTGACCTAAACATGGAAATGTTTGTCAGAACTACTGATCCAGCGGTCCTACTATATTATAGCAGAACTACTGGTCCAGCGGTCCTACTATGTTATAGCAGAACTACTGATCCAGCGGTCCTACTATGTTATAGCAGAACTACTGATCCAGCGGTCCTACTATGTTATAGCAGAACTACTGATCCAGCGGTCCTACTATGTTATAGCAGAACTACTGATCCAGCGGTCCTACTATGTTATAGCAGGAACTACTGATCCAGCGGTCCTACTATGTTATAGCAGAACTACTGATCCAGCGGTCCTACTATGTTATAGCAGAACTACTGATCCAGCGGTCCTACTATGTTATAGCAGAACTACTGATCCAGCAGTCCTACTATGTTATAGCAGAACTACTGATCCAGCGGTCCTACTATGTTATAGCAGAACTACTGATCCAGCAGGTCCTACTATGTTATAGCAGAACTACTGATCCAGTAGTCCTACTATGTTATACTGGGGGGAGACGGCACAGATCCTGGGCAGGAAACCAACAGCTGCAAGGGGGCGGAGTTAAGACTTGTTTCCTGTTTCGTACAGAGATATTTTACAGATGAAAGTGGATGAATCTTTCAGAAGGGATTTTAATGTGTATTTCTACAGTGGCCAGTCGAGACGGTGTTGATTTGAAACCTTGACAGACACGTTTTTACAGTTTACTGCTGCCGGCTGAGGTTGCGTTTGCCAATTACCCGCTTACAGATCGCTGCCTCCAGCAACATGATTGGTCGAAACATAATATATGAAGCGAAAGAAATTGAAACGCTCCGTTCACCCAGATTTGAGCTTGATCCCATCGGACACCATGCCAGCTGCAGTGTGAATATAACTGTCTTTCTATCCGGTATAACCTGTTGGCAACAAGACGGTAGCTGACATATTAAAAGAATCATGATGCAATCTTTTTTTTATGTTTTGTGAGCAGATCCAAACAGAGCTCACCTGGTATTGAAACCCCATATGAGCAGGATAAGCCGTCACTCAAAACCAATATAAGGAAGCTAAAGTTTATAAGCGTGGTCAAAATGTGACAACTTACTGGAGGAATGTCTCCTAGGATACATCATCCGCCGCTACCTGTGGCGGTTTACCTCACATGTGGATGACGAAGCATTTTGAAGCAATTTTTTTGATAGTGAAATGAAAACGGGGTTACGGTTCACCGGAGGTCATCATGGCTCAGCAGCAGCAGCAGCAGACCGCCGCCGCCAGGAGCGCCGCCACAACTCACCTTGTCAATGAAGGTGGCGAAGCGGTTGTTGAGGGTCTTGATCTGCTCCTTCTCCTGGGTGCGGACCACCTGGATGCTGGGGTCGATCTCCAGGTTCAGCGGCGCCAGCAGGCTCTTGTTGACCGTCACGGACGTGATGGGGGCCGCTCTGGCGCCCACGCCTCCGCCCACCATGCCCATACCGCCGCCGCCCATGCCTCCACCAACACCCATGTAGCCGTACTCTACCGCGCCGCAGCCGCTCCTCTGGCCGGACGCTCCGGCCATGTACCCGCCCACCACGAAGC